AGCAACCATACCCAGAGCAGTGTTGCCCTAAGTAACGACCTTTTGATGATGTTCGTTTGGTACTCTCCAGTAAATAAGAAATAGTTCAAGCCTTGGATACAAGTGACCACAATAACATTTCACTCTAGAGAAGGTGTCATGCATCACGTGGTAGCCATATTGGAATACCCTATATCAAGTCCGTGCTAAACTGTGCTCCTTAATCTGCTTACAGCTGTGAGGCTATTTTTACTCTGATTGTTGGCCTTGGTCGCCATTTTTGACTACCCCAGCTATGATTAATGACACAGTTTTGCTGTATGTTTGGGGGAAAAAATCGGGACATACCGTATTTATCGTCTGTGACCATTTCAAGATGGTCGAGTGGAACGATAAGGATCCTATTTCAGCAGCGGGTCTGCGTCAGACCTCTTCACAATGATCATTCCTTGATTATCCATCTCCATTTACAGCTGGATTGACTGGCATAATGGAATTCTCACTATAAGTTTCTAATTTTATAATATTAGGCCATGCCTCTTCCCATGGGATATCGAAGTCAATGATTATTCGCTCTATTTTGATCCATTTCCAGAAGAAATTATTGCATAAGTTGAATTTAAAATTGTTTCTTTGATAAATATTTCATCGGTCGGTGACACAATTTCAAAGCCTAATGTCTGTTTCAACATTATTGGAGAGAGGAAGAGTGGGGTTGTTGAAAATGAGCCCCCGTTCGTTGCCTTCTGAGCCTACCACCAACCGCCCCCTTAATACGCCTTTTACCCTATACATAGCTCTATTGTTTACTTACGGTCGAGGCAGGTGCTGTTAGGTGGTTGGTCTTTTCTATCAACCAGCCAAGACCTGCTTAAGTCATTAAGTTAATTAAGATTCTTATATCATCGTTCTTGAAAGGGAATAAATCGCATTATTAGGGATTTGACCGTTTATGTTTTAAGCCATCTGATGTCTATGATAAGAAAGACCCTAATATAGATGACATCTTTATCATTTGCCAATAAAGTCGCAATTTCTGTTGCGTTCGTGAAAACCGGGTCGCCTTTTTTATGTGGGCATATAGCAGTTGGTTAAGATTGCTTTTTTTGTTTAATCTGATTTCAATGTTGTCACAATGATAATCGAAGCCATATTTCAAAAGATATGACCAAAATATCTCATATTTATTTCTTATCTCTATAATACCCTCAGATTTAAAGGGATATGCTCCTCAATTTTCGCTTTACTGGTCTTTATTTCCGATACCAAAGCAAAGTGGATACAATATTTCGACGGCTTTAACTCGTTGAATTGTTGAAAGGCTTCTATAATAAAGGTCGGAATACAAATATAACCAATAATATTAAATCCTTTTAAGAAAAACAAAACAAAAAGAAACAAAAGGAGGCAAAAGGAAGCAATATCAAAAGAAAAGGTTACTGTGTTGTAAAAGATAGAAAAATACTGTTTTTTCCAGTAAGACTGCATTGCAGATCATTTTCTAAAGTTGTTAATGCAACATTTAACTAAAGAAACAATATTATAAACGTGGGAAGATATTAGTGTATCTTCGCGGCCGATTCAAACCATTAATCAAGAGCAATGCACGTCAGTTTGACGGTCGTCAATGCACTAATTGAAACAATACGGGCTGAACTTACGTGTGTTGATTAGGACTTAAGCAACCAAATATAGTCCCGTCATCATTAGGTTCAGAAAATAGGACGTAAAACTCCATTTCATTTGTTTCTGGAAGTATTAACTCAATGTGAATGAACGTTTGGCAACTCTTATAGTTGAGGTCACAAATACAATGGAGATGAAGAAGTGTAAGAACTAATTAATTTGGACTTTATTAATGAAATATGATATGGCCTAACGATGACACCCTCTATCTTATTAACTTTTATATCGTAATTACATTGTATTAAAGAAAGGTAGATATGGAATCAAATACGGCTCAGGGAGTAAGACGTTCGAATGTCTAGACGTTCGAATGGGACAATAAACTCAGATCTCGTGTGCTACAGGTTGTGCACGTTAAATATCCTTTGACAGTTTGATATCGATAGAGTATAGGCTAATGCCGCTGTCCTGTAAAATTTTCCTTATTATACACTGCACTGCGTTGTCCGTCAAGTGCCGAAAGTAGGATGTAAAGCTTCATTCATTTCATTTTATTTAACGGTATAGATATTTGTGCACAATTACGTACCTGGTGCGCATAAAAACATCTGCAATCCGCCATTCTTGTATTCGCAAGATTCGTCCGTGTGTTCAAATTTACAAAACAAAAGATATAAATGACTAGGTGGAAGTGTTTTGATTTGCTGTTTAGAATACTGATTTTGTGAGATAAGGTCGTCAAATGTGAACACGTATATTAATAGCGTTTACACTATTGCGAACTTTTTCAAGTATCCCCGGTCGTGTTTTTTCCAAAGATTTTCAGGAACATCAGGGAATATTATTGGCATTTTCTGCATGTTTGTTTTATCAACCGTTACATGCTTTAAATCCCTGCCCATAAATTATATATATATGGTTTTGTTGGTAGCGGAATGATACAATTTTTGACGTGTGGGTGATTCCGCAACTTCAAAACAAAACGCATCACGATTCGACAGTTCTTTTGTTCCTTCGCCACAATAACAATCCGTTATTAATAGGAGCTCATCCATCCACACACGTTAAAAATGTTGCTAAAGTTATATCAACATACTTAACGACTCATCTACTGCATTAGTATTTATTTCGTTTTATTTTTTACTTTAATACCGATTTTTTAATCTACCGAAACACGGATTGCATGTTCTGACTTATTACCCGTGTAAGAATGATTGAAAAGGATATCCGCAAATTTCCGACTAAAAAAATCAATAATAAAGAAACGAATCGGATTAAATACGATACCATTGTTTATGTCTTGCTTGATGATATTTATCATTTCGTCTCATATATAGCCTCGGTTGGCAATTTCAAGTAACCAGCATTTTCTGTACTTTCATTAGGACCACTCAAATCATTTGCAATGATGACAAGGGCACCACCAAAGAGAGTGGTGGTTGTTCGCCCTTTTCTCTTCTGTAAATTGGGTGGCGGTGATACGAGAGATCTTTTGGCAACTTCAGTACCAAAAAAATTGTCCTTTCAACCCGAATTATTGTTGACGGTAGCGCCACCAACGAAAGGAGCGTGGTAGGTGGTCACCGAATGTTCCTCGCTTATTTTGGTGGATGATTTGGAGGTTGATCTGTTGATCTGTTGTCGATTGTCTTGCTCTACCAAAACATTGGTAATTTAAAGTAGCCTAGACTTCTCTACCAAATAGATTGTCCTTTCAACTCAAATTATTGTTGACGGGGGCACCATCACGTTAAAGAGTGATGTGTGAAGTGCTCTTTTAATTTGGGTGGGTGGTTCAGAGGTTGATCTTAGAATGTTGTGCCCCTCCGAAGCTGCTGTAATTTGATGCCCCGGTTGTTGACTATCACTTAAAGTTGAATAGGCTATTAATAATTAAAATATTTGATCAATTTCCAGATTAACTAGAAGTATTTCAACAACGTAGACAGTTTCGGATCTGGGTGACTGCTTTTCGAAAGAAAATTGCTAAAATGATTAAAAAAAAAAACATTTTGAAAAAAAATGAGCGCAATTCATGTCTCCACGATTTCAACCGGGATAAGAGTTCCATTGCTGACTCGTTGGACTCAAATGGGCCACTGCCAGCTTCTCTCTGCACAAACCTTTTAATAAGATCCATAAAATTCAATCTTCTTTATATCAGTCAGAAAATCAGTTAAGCGATGTCAGTCGTGCAGAAACCATCACAAACCATTTCCTTATCGGAAGTGACGTTAACACCGACGCGGACCAACCAGGGTTTCCGCTTCCGGTTTGTATTCAATGCGTGAAATAACCATGTCATGTATTCTTTTATGTTTGTTTTAGTCCGTGTGTTGAGTATAACGCATTCGAAGTTGATCACAATTTAAAATCTTGGCTCATCACGCAAACATGGTGGACAATAATGGCTGATCGACGGGAGATATCTTTGAGAGGAAAACGATAGGTGTTATTGCTAATTATTAGGAACTGTAGGGGGTGACATTGATACCGACCGTATGATTACGTTTTGAGTGCTGCTTAACGGAGCATTTTCTGAACAATAAGGCAATTATGAAATACATTTAAGGGAAGCAAACATCTTTCTATATAGTAAATTTCTTCTTTGTGCTGTAAGAGACGATATATCGCATGAGCACATTCTGTTTTAGTCCACTGATTTGCAAAAATATTCTTATTAAACATTTGATTTCTTATATATTTATTATATCTAAAATCTGCACTACGATATCCTTTGGGCATTCTGTTCACCTTTGCGCCAATAGATATGCGGTTCGTTGTTATGACAATGCAACTCTGTTGACAAACAGTTGCTTAGCAATAAACAGAATGACAAGCAGTTTGAGTGACAGTTTGGTTACTTGTTTGAAATATTTGATTGGCACATGATAAGTTAGACAGTTTGTTTTGACTTGAGTACTGAAAGTGAAAGTACGAGATAGTCTAAGAACGACGTCTGTTACACGCCGAGGGATGGGATGGTGGGGGTCATTTTAGTTCGGACGATGTACTTTCCGTTTTTCTGATCTATCTGAACACAACTGCCATCAGGGTGAAGCACTCTGAAAGCTATTTTACAATTGGTGCAACATATATATAAAATGAATTGAATTTTTGCACTTGATTGGGCAGAGGCTTATAAAGGTGGGATTCAAGGGACAAGATTTCAGAATTGGAACAATTTATTAAAACCAATAATAATTCGGATGATTTCTTTTGAAGAGTTTCTGTATCGTCTTCAATAGATTTGTTGGGTTATCTGTATTGTGTATTGGTTCTCTGTGAATTGAAGTATGTTGTCAAAATATTTCTTAAGCATAGTAGGAGCACCATGATGTATATCGTAAGAAGCAGCCAATGTGTCTATCTAAAAAACAGCACTATCACCAGTGTTATATCTCATAGGGTAAACGTTCTTGTCCTTGGTATTCATTACCTCCCTTAGCAGCTATTTCACTTCCTAAAACCTGGCCAAGCACATACGTCATTTCCTGTTCACTTATTTCCGCAAATAATTCTGTTAAAAACATGTCCCTATCTGACACTGGCGTTTCTTCGATAACATGATCTCGGTCTTGATTTTGGGGCATACTTCGTTTACCAATAGATAACAATTTGGATCGAAGTTTTGTTTTTTGGGCTTCTCTCCGCTTGTTTTCGCGCAATACAAGAAGATTGGCTAAGGACTTAAGTTCTTGATTGATGGACAGACGGCTACGTTTTTTCATTGCTATGGGTATGGGCGTAGTCGGAGTGATTTGAGTGTACCGAATTGTCTCCCTTAGAGAATGTGGTTGCATCAATATGAGTTCTCTGAGTCTATGTAATATTGCGTTCAATGGTTCGTAGTAGTCCCTTGATTGATCCTGGGAACTTAATTCCTCTGGCACTTGAGAATAGCTTCTTGGCATAGCATAAGACGTCATTATGACGTATAATAAAAACACTGACAAAACCGTTAGCTTCAACATGTTGTTTCTTCAATGGTAGTTCCTAAAATGAAAAAAAAAAAACCTAAATTAAAAGTCGGAGCGTGGAATTAGATAAATGAGGTGCAAACGTGTCCTTGTCCCTCTCGAAAAATGGTTTGCGTGGTTTGTACAATTTTTATTCGTTTTTGCCTCAAAATATATGTCAGAATGCACCAAATCAATTAAATTTTTCGAAAATCTTCATGGAAGAACCCTCTCAGACGTTTCACTTGTGATTAAGACGCCTCCACAGACTTGCAGCATTATGTATTCAACCTCGACAGTTGTCCCCCTGCAGAGTAGGTAGTTAGTCTAGTCTGCCCTCTATTTGTACCCCTAGTCCATTAGCTAACTAAGAACATACACTCCCTCATGAGGAAACAAACATATTTCATTATTGTAACATAGACAAATCGTAAAAGTACATCATCGTTGTCGTAATGACATCAAATTCCATTTTTCTCGGCATTAGGAGTCTCTTCCTAGAACTATCGTAAAACATAGCGGGAAACATCAACCCTTAATTGGAATCTGATTGGATAACAGCGTACAACCTGGCAGGATATCCGGTTTCACGTTCTTTAAATCCGTCTTTCATTTCCCGCCATAATCACGATTATCCAGTTCATCCGGAAAATAACTCACGTGGAGGATACGATTATCCAGACAATGGCATGTATAGTGCACTGCTCCTGTACTGAATAAGTGAATGAATGAATGAACACATCTTTGCTGTACCGGTACATCTTTACTCTCGAAAGCATTCGACATGGTTTTAGAATTTCTTTAACCTGTAGGGGAATTTAAACAGGCTATTTGGAAGACTGCGATAGCCAAATATCTATCGACTATGCTTTATAGTCTCATGACAAAGAATAAAGAAAATTTTAGTGACAATTACCTTTCAATATAAATAATTTCCAATCCTTATTTTCAATGCGTCTTTAGGTGAATTCTCGTAAGTTGTTTAGCAGAAATGAAGTACAGTGTTGTATGTTGTTTTGCTGAAATGACAAAAAATGCAGGTTTATTTATACTCATATAAAATAGCGCGATCAATTAGGAGGGTACCTTGCTTAATACGTCATCAATTTCGTGTGGTTAGTGTCAATTAACAAATATTAACACGTTAGGTTCATATCGTTAATATTTTTTCCAAAAATATAAATTGCCACCCTTTGTCTTCACCTCTAACATTATTTTTTGCAAATGGTATTAGCAGATTACTTGCAAATAACGACCTTGTTGTTCACACAGTTTATTCATTGGATCCCAGTTTTAATTTTCATCTGGAGTATTCAAAGATTTCGATTGGATGGATTAACGATAATGATTTAGTTTCAAAACAGATCATGTGAACTAAATGCGCAATCATTAGATAGAGTCCGGTTGTTTTGCTTGCTGCATAAGACTTTACAATAGGCAGACAAACCAGCAGGTGTTTCGTGCAGCCTTTTCTAATGCGGTTGTTGCGGTTTTGGACGCGAGGTATTGCACGTACGACCGGATTTGCACGCTACTGTAAAATTCACAGAATTGGCTTCTGGCGTCGTTCTCTCATAGAAATAACAGATTATGAAAAACATCGTCTAGTTTCGCACGTACATGTATTGGCTTTTTCTCAACTCCAGTAGGGAGGCAGGCTGAAATATGTGAGTTGTCTGAAAAATAACAACATGTTTATTAGGTTCTGTCTTAATATTTCTTTATCGCTCTTCATTTATTGATGTATTGAGCACTATTTTAACAGTGGTATTTCTATATCACTCTACAATTGATGTATTGAGCACTATTTTAACAGTGGTATTTCTATATCGCTTTACCATTATTGATGTACTATTTTAACACCCTGGATTTTTATACCGTTTGAATCCTGAATATATAGAGACTCGGTACTTAGGAACAGTCAGTGGGTATTTTCAGTAGAAACTTGTGCTGAACAAATGGTGTTCATGACCTTTCCCTGTGCTTTTATAACATAAGCAATAGAGCGAATGATTAAGTAACACATCAGATCCATGGACGTAGGCTTTTTATTGACGAAGACATCGTTGTAGGGGTATATTACAAATACAAAATGTTTGCAAAAACATCCATGGAATAAACCATGCATGGATATGGTAATGCATAGATTTCATGGAAATATGAGAATAACACAGTTAACTTTATTTTTACAGTCTATCAATCAATTCGGGGTTGAGATTCAAAATGGCTGTGAACTACGTCCGTGTGTTATTGCCATGCAGGAAAACCATACGTAGTTTTGTGTTATTTTAATGTAAGAACCATACGTAGTTTCGTATGACCATATCCCTTTTGATATCCACTCACTCATACCGATTAAATGTTTAAGAAGGTGACGGATTATTATCGACTTCAAACTGCGACTGTTTATAGTTGGCCTTGATTGGGGATTTGATTCTAATTCTCCAACTGCTAATCTCGAGTCAAAGGCCAGTTGGATCGCGATAATTAAAGGGATTATAAAGAGGTTTCCTTTGTCTTGTATGTATATCCAGGACACTGATTTGCACCATTACAATTTTATTCTGCCGTCTGTGCAGTCCAATTCAAATTAGACCAAACTTTCGTTCCTCTTTTGTTTAGCATTTATTTTTGATATAGCCACTTCAGTTAGGGTCTAAATACGGACCTCTTGAACATTAATCCCAACAACCTTTTGACATGACCTGATGACCTCTGTTTTAACCAATAGTTTAAGAATTAAAATGAGGGCCTTAATTAGATTCCAAATTGCGACCCCCTACTGAAAAGGTATCCTTTGTAGAGGGTTCACATGGTTAATAGTACTTTTTGGACATCCTCCAGTGTGCAAAAACTTACTTTATTGATCCATCTGTGGCAATTGTTCATCCGGTTTTGAAAAAGGAAGTTGTAGATCCTATGATAAAGAAATTTAATAGTTGGCAATCGTGTCTAACGATCTCGATTATCTATTTTTAAACTCTATTGCAGAGAAATTATAAAATCGGGCTTTGTATCAGGCTATTTTTAGATTCATCTCGTCCTAGATTCCAGATATACAGGAAGTGAACTGGATTTCGGAGAATGGTTAGCGTTTGATGTACCAGCCAAAGCAAGGTTACATCTGATGACCCATACACAGAGCAAGATTATATCTGGTGATTTTGGTGTAAAAACCAGAGCAAGGTTACATCTGGTGACTCTTTGGTGTAAAAACTGGAGCAAGATTATATCCGATGACCCATACACCAGAGCAAGATTATATCTGGTGACTTTGGTGTAAAAACTGGAGCAAGATTACATCTGGTGACCCTTTGATTTACAAGCCAGAGGAAGGTAACATCTGGCGCTCCTTTGGTGTCCAAGCCAGAGTTCGGTTATATCTGGTCAGCCTTTTATATACAAGCCAGGGAAAGAGGGTATATGGTATGTTTCGTATAACAACCAGAGGAACAAGTCACAGTCTGATCTCTATGATCTCTTTGGTGGTGTACAAACCAAAGTAAGGTTTCGTACCTGCCACAGTCGGGTAATGTTTATGTTTAGTATGACAACCAAAGGAACAAGTCATAGTCTGCTTTATGATCTCTTTGATGTGTACCAACCAGCTGCTGAGTGACCACTGATAAAGTCTGTCAATTCCCTGCTCAAAGAGTAAACGAGCGAAAGAAGCTTTTCACTCACCTTCAACAGTGTTAAAGCATCAAACCTTGCCGGACGTTTTCAGTGAACACAAATAAGGCTGTGACGATCTATTTTTTTTAATTTAAACTTTAATAGAATCACACTTTTCAAATATCAATTGTCCCAAAATATTCCAATTGCGTTCACAGGTCCATAAACAAAAATTATCAGATTTTTTATTTGCGTTTTGTTTTTATAACACCGAACGCCTTCGATGCCTGAATTTGTTTGAAATGCGCGGGACGGGCCTGTTCCGTCTGCCAGGTAAAACTCGCGCCTAATCCAGACGTCACGCGACATTACGAGCAGTAATTCCACTTAATGAGGCGGGAGCAATTAAGAAACTTTTAAGCGCTGTTTAAATAGCGTTACTATACATGCCACAAAAGGAATCCTTTATCGCTTCATCAACTTTATCGAGTTTGGCCGGGAGACATATTTTCTTTTTCATTGATAGGCCTACTTCCGTCTTTTGGACAACATCATGAATGCAATTTTAAAAGACAAGAATCAACAAAAATGGTGAAAAAATTGTCAGTAGTAATCTCCCTTAAATAGCCATGATTCATGTGATATTGATTTTTATGGACATTTTTGCGTAAAAGGGAGGGGAGGCTTAATTGTATATTTGATGCAAAATAACGGTAAGTAGTACCTACACGGAGTGGCTAATGCATATTTAAACAACGCTTTGGCTGTATGATTTCGCCTGTCCAATACACAGTGAGTCTGCAACCTCTGCGACTCATTGAAGTGCACAATGAAACGTGTTGAAGTAGATGTTGAAGTATTTTCATTTGTAACTAAATGATTTATGTAATCCATTCTACTCTAAAGTTACGTATCGAATTTCAGCAAAACATGAAATTAATGGTCCTAATGAAATAACCTTGTTACGACTGACGTTGATCGGAACTATTTATCATGGAGACAAATTAGCACGTCACCGCTACATTGATAATAAAACAAAACCGTGTCGATGATTTTTGTTCCTAAACAGTTTAAGCTCTTTATCATCTTGTTTATTTAGGTGAACTATGAGCGCGTGGTAAAGGTAGATTATTGATGGAAGGCGGGCGAAAAAAACAGGAACAATTTGGTAGATGTAAAGAGATAGCCCCGACCAAGCCTTCAAATAGCTGTAACGCACACGTTTTGTCCTACGGTCATCTAAAAATAACCCCGGCTTAGCCTTCTTTAAGTCATGGTGAATTTCTACAGATTCTTTGTAACATCCTTTATTTAATCCGAAACGTTCCCCTGATGCCCAATACCATATAAATAGTTGTTGCTCTCTGGTGTATTATAAATGTATACAACATAATCTCCCGTAAACAGTATTTTCTGGTTGAACAAGGGGAACTACTCTGGATAACATAATTTAAAATAGGAAATACAGTCAATACAGGCTAATCAATGACGTTACTAAGTTACTAAACGTTGTTAATAGAGGCGGGGCCTAATAAGCTGGGAGTTCTAAATTAGATCTTTAAATAGATACAGCTGCCACGCTTGAAGGTGAAAGGTCAAATCAACTGATGAAATTGTTGCCTTGTTGGACACAGGAAGAGTCATGCTGTCCTTCGTGAAACAAGTTGGAGTATTTCGGACTGTACCGAGAAAGAGAAATGCCAGCCTCAAGTTCAATATTTCTGTGGCTTCGCAAAAAAAATGTTCCGTTAATTACATGGCGACTGCCTCCAAAAAGGCGTTCTGATGCCTCGGGAAATAATTTGCTATTTTGTAAACTATACAGATAGCTGTATTTAGGAGTCATTATTTCAATCCATTCAAAATCATCAGCATAAGTGTTCGTAGCTACAAAGAACTGTGCTTGGCATTAGCTTTGTGGTCGGATCGAGTCGTTCAACTGCCGTGGGCAGCGTTCGTTCTGCTTCCGGTCTGTGTGAATTAAGCGAGATTAGCGCATCGTGGAATTTGATTTTGTCCAATCAATGTCAACAGGGGATTGGATTCCGTCCAGTCAGAGCCAAGGTGACATTTGATTTCGTCTAATCAATGCCAAGGTATCAGCGTATCAATATCTTCATCCCGCTCTTCCAAGGCGACCAAGGTCCCCTTGTTTTGGCGGTGAGGTCTTTGTGCGATTTGCTTTGATGCATTTGGATGGCAGTGATTAATAACCAAAATTTAAAACATCTCAAAAGACAACAAACAGTTTAATATCACAGCAACGATTGATATACAATGTATTTAAAAAAAAGTACAAAACAATTTATTGTTCAAAGGCACAAAGAACGCCATCAACAAATTCTGACCGCTGAAGAGGAACAGATGATGCTGCACTCCGACTGAGATTGTCAACTTGACATCCTTTCTGGAGGGAACACGGGCTTTAGATATATTTAGCAACGGTTGAATTCCGTGTTAAGTATTGGTTACATGTGTTTAGTTGAGCACTTCCGGTATAGGCACAAATTAACAAAGCTGTTTAATTTCCTCAATTATTAAAGGGACATAACTCCACTTTTAATCGATCCAAAACACAATGGTTTCTTTTGGTTTCAAAAATTGAAAAGGGAAATAAATCCAGTATTATTAATATTTTTCAGGAAAAAAAACAGGCAAATGAAGCTTCCTATATGGTCTCGTTTAAAAAGAATTGACGTTGACAGTCGCAGTAATCAGAATAGTGAAAGTAGGTGACTCAGATTTAATTTTGTTAATTCGTTTTCACGGTACAATCAAAATTGATTAGGTTACTTTCGACCTTAATCTGAATATCAACACCTGTCCCTTTAAACTATCTCTAGCTTCGAACTAATGACATGTAAAATGATATCAATTAAAAAAATAATATGCGATTGATTAAAAATAAGTAATAATATCTAGATAATGAAACAGATTACATTCAACATTTACTGTGGAGTGGAAATTAGCTAGTGGCATATACATAGTTCAAATATATAATTCTTATAGACAATCCAGAACCCCCATTAAAACGACCAGAATCTCAAACGCCGCATAAACCATTCTATTACAGTGTAACTTTTGGGCGACTTATATCATATATTCAGGCCCTTTTTGAAAGCCGCAATAAGCAAGAAGTTGTATTATAATATTGTTTACATTCCAGTCAAAAATGACCCACTTTAAACTCAACTATTTCAATCTGATCCCATTTGTAAATTATTAAAAGCGTAGACATATAATGACATCTAATACATATTCATGATTCGATATGATGACATTTGAGTTCTGTTAGTTTTTCTTTCAAAAAATCTGTTGAAATTTCCCTAATTGAACTCCTAGATTTCATTGTATTCAAAAACTTAAACCAATATAACCTTCACAATTACATTTAAACAAATTAATATGGGAGGTATGTAAGGTAACACACAAAACTGAAACAAAAATTCTAAATGGATAGTAACTTTGCAAATGAGATCACAATATACAACAAAAATGAAATAATAAAAAAATAAATGTCCTCGGGTTAGGAAACGAAATAACGTATTTTAATCTTGATCAATTTGAACCTTTAAATGTCCTTATATTCTTCACCATTACTCCAAACGTCATTTTTAATGTAGTTCTTTAAACCCAACATATTTCTTAAACTTAAAATGAACAGAAAAACCTTGAAAGTTGTATCTCGAGTGTTAACCTCTTGGTCTTGGTAATTTAGCTGAAAAGATATAAATATGTATTACATAAAATTCGTAACTCCTTAAAGACGTTTGCGTACAATGAAGCCTTATTAAATGAAACATACACATGAAAGTTTTGGCATCCAATTGTGTGTGTAAGAGGAAATGTCAGACATGTAGGTTTTGTATAGATTAAAGTTTACCACAAAGACGACAAGCTACCACAGTTGTTGTGGTATTAATCTTATAATACTTCATGGTGTCAAAAGTTTTGAGCGTTTGTTGTATTTTCCTAGATTTGACACGGGCTTTTTGGCAGTTTGCTATAAATAAACTAATACTTACACTCCACACAACGAAACCCGAAATCAAAAACAACATTTGGCGAAACATTGGTAGCAGCTAATCTGCTTTTCACATGAGAAAGTATATCAACCATAAATGAATAAGTATTTCATAAATAAGTGGTATATTATATAGGTTACTGTAAATCAGACTTACCTTTTTTCCAGTTAATTTTGGGTGTTGAACATTTTCAATCCAGCCTACAAATGGTTGAGAATAAACAAGATTAATAACGCTTTCAATTTTTCTTTATATTTGAGCAAATCCACATTGAAACGTTGGATTTTCATCCTGAAAATGATGCAATTTGTGAGACCTTCACGGTACTTTCTGTTAGCTTATTTGCAATAGCCAATTTATTGAATAATTCGTATAAAACAAAGTAATTCAATTAACCAAAAATCTCGTCCAAGGCATGACACGATCTGAAGCAATAAATGTATAGCAATGGACTCCTCGAACGAAAAGTGTCATCAGGTGAGTAATCTGTTATTCAAAAGTGATGTCAAAAGACTTTTGACGAGCATGCACAAACACATATACATGTACAGACCAATGACAAACAACATCTACGTGCAGAAATTTCATTTTATTAAATTGGTAATTAATACATTCTCTTTCCAATAACTAGGTTATCTCCCCCTAATAAAGGCCTATAAAGCCGCAAATTATAATGTACAGTTTATGGCAAAATCAGCAACAAATCAAACATAAGAGAAAAACCTATGTCAATTTCATGTTTTCAAATGACAGAAAATAAAGCGTTATTTAGGTAGCATTAAAAGGACAGATGTTAAGAAAGCACCTCTATTTCCTTCTAAAAGAATACCTCCGTTTTCCGAATCAATATCATCCTCTGGTATGAATCCTCTTACCATTCGACTCGGAAATATCAGTTGATGCTGATGGACTTGGCCTAGATCCACTGTCTGTTCCGCTGGGTCTAAAACCGGTATTTGTCCCGCTAGGTCTGAAACCTTTATTTGGTATGTTAGGTCTTGAACCACCATTTGACCCGTTGGGTCTTTTGGGTATAACAGGCCTTCCACCACCATTTGGTATCTTAGTCGTAGATCTATCGCCATTTGGTACATCTGGTACTAATGCGCTCGAACTAGGCTCGTTGTTGGTTGCAATAGTTGAAGACATAAATTCTTCGCTTGTGTCGCCCTCTTTATAATCTGGGTATTCTGCCGTCTTGAAATAAGCTTCTGTATGATCGTAATATTCATAAATCGGTTCACTAGTTTCATATGCAATGTCATCACTGTTTCCTGATTGAAAGAAAAATTTCAATTCAAATAAAAGAGGAAATTTGCTGGGAAACAATGAAAGATATATCACAACGTTTAGGTACGTTTTACCTCAATGGAGGGGATTCTCTGCAAATTAATTTGACCTGATGTAGATCTAGTCTACAACCAGAACATTTTGGATTACCACCATTTTTTTATGAAGTAGAGATTGGAATTGATTTGCTTAAAATATCTTTTGGTAAGACTAAAGCTCTATTCTATATTAAACCCTGTATCCAGGCACAATTATGACCCAGACCAATTGGAAATTACAAGAGTGAAGTAGAAAAAATATGGTTTATTTCAAATAAACTTGTACATAACAATGAAAAAAAAAAACAATACAAAGACCTAAAGAATAAAAACATTAAAAAAAATAGCTATTCATCATATTAAAATATCCAACATGGAACACAAACAACAAAAGGTTAAAAAAAAAACCTTGATTTGCTAATAAAAAAAATGGGTATAGTGTTTAGTGTTGGATTGCAGGAAATGCAGACAGGCGTGAAGTTTGTTTTTTTCTGTGAGGGATGATTCGGGTTTTAAAAGCGATTTCTGCAATATTTCATAAGAAATATATTGTATATGTATATTATTACAACATGAATTGTGGATACTTTTATATTATACACAGAGATACATGTAGGTGCGATTTTAAAAAAAATATATGAGTTTTCGGGTTTGTGAGAAATTTACCTTATTAGATGATTTTATTTGTTGTGTTTACTGATTCATCTGAAAACAATGAAATCTTTCTTAATCTTTTCAAAAGAAAATACAGAAAAGTCACAAAAAAGTCTAGTTTTTTTTTCTTTTTTGATTTTTTATTAGCTCGTGACTTTAAATTGAGCTGAAAATCATTAAAAATTTCTTGAAATTTTGACGGTATAATACCAAAATTCAATACTTTCACAGGTCAAAAGTTATACCTTGTGATTCAGTTGTGATGTCCATATTTGTAGTTACGACATGAGCTGCTGCAGATTGACCACCAGTCGTACCATCATCCCCGTTTTTTATTGACGAAGCTGTAGTATTCACTGTGTCTGAGGATGTCAATGGGCGGCCAGTCGCTTCTGCTGGTACTACCGCTGTAAAGAGGGCCCTCCACTGTTTGTCACTAACCGGTTCAATCGCTGCGTTGGTTGTGATCGTTAGAACTGGACGCTCAGGCCGTTGACGTAAAAGACTAGAATCGAGCCTTTCAACTGCGGTGTCTTTGGTTGTGGGCATGGTCGTAATAGTTGCTACAGGTGGCCGCGGTCGGCCTCTTAGCGATCTTAGTTCAAATCCTTCCCTAGGATTAATTGGTGTCGTGGTCGTTGAAGTTTCTGTCTCGGCCATAATAGTTGCGACAGGTGGACGTGGTCGGCCTCTCAGCGATTTAAGATCAAATCCTACCGTAGGATTGACTTGTGCCACGGCAGTTGGATTTTCTGTGGTAGCTGCCTTAGATGGCCGTGGTAGTCCTCTCAGCGATTTGAGATCAATTCCTCCCATTGGAATTGCTGGTGCCTTGGTGGTAGTGGTAGATGTAGCAGTAGTATTAAAAGCCTTGGATGGCCGTGGTAGTCCTCGCAGCGATTTGAGATCGATTCCTCCCATAGGAATTGCTGGTGCCTTGGTGGTAGTGGTAGATGTAGCAGTAGTATTAAAAGCCTTGGATGGCCGTGGTTGTCCTCGCAGCGATTTGAGATCAATTCCTCCCATAGGAATTGCTGGTGCCTTGGTGGTAGTGGTGGATGTAGCAGTAGTATTAAAAGCCTTGGATGGCCGTGGTAGTCCTCGCAGCGATTTGAGATCAAATCCTCCCTGGGGATTAACTGGAGTTTCTGTTGTAGTAGCTGCCTTGGATGGCCGTGGCAGTCCTCTTAGCAAATTCTGATCAAACCCTCCTCCCTGATTATTTGGTTGCTTGGTAGTGGGGGTTATTGGCTGACTCTGTCTCTGTCCATTTGATTCACCTCCGTCTAAAAATTTGCCATCATCATCTTCTGATGCTGAAAACTCTATTTGGATTCAAAATATAAACAGAATAATTCAAAGCAGTTTTTGTTTTGAAAGAAAATGCTATAAGAAAGGAACATTCGTGTTTTACAAAGATGGCACGGATCCTTCTATTTCAACTACCAGAAGTGTTTTATGGTGACTATTGACATTTCTTATTGTATGATACGCAATGTACACTCCCGCAATGCACTAAATAATATGATTTGATTGTTGGGTTCGTAAAAAGATATTGATGCTTACCTGTACTTCCAGTTGTTTCCGTTACTCCTGGTAAACCTGTACGAGAAAAGTTCATAATTTTAAACAAAGAATTGTACTCTTTTAAATCATGTTTTCATAAAATGGCCAATGTCCGTCAATTACCAACACAGATCTCGAAAAAAAAAAGAAAGAAAGAAAACAAAGAAATAACAAAATTATAAACTTACCAATGGCTGCTTTATTGCCTTCACTATTTTGTTTTTCCCCGTCGGTCAATATAACTAAATAAAATATAAAGAACTATGAGGAAATATGTACCAAACGAATCACCGTATTTTTGTGAAATTTCCATATTCTTCAATTCTTAGCATTAGTTCTTTCAATTTTGTCAGGTCTCCATTGTAATCTAACAAGTTTTCTACCACAATAGCGTTCTAAGCGAAGTATATTTTACCAATCAAAGCCTGAAATGTAACTCAGACAAATTGCCAGATAGCGAAACCCAAAGATGTTGTCATACTGCTCTGGGGTTTAGCTTTCCCACAATTCGCCATTATTCCCGTAAAATTGCCACTTACTGGTGAAATATATGACTGTTACCAATAACACCACTCCAATAAGAACACCAAACGTTATGAAGATGGTGGTGGATAACTTACAACCACCTTTAGGCTTCCCCAGACTACTGCTTTCAATCGAATCATCATTGACTTTCCTCTGGGTCGCTTTTTGTTCTGCATTGAAAGGGGGAAAAAGGGTAAATTTCTTGACAGTTGCTTCTTAGTGATTTTCAGAATGTTTTATTTTCAATCCAATAAAATAATAAACATAATAAGAAAAGAAAGAATAGAAAGAAAAAATAGAGTCTTTTTCAACTAGTCTGGTTTCTATGAAACATGCTCATTCATTTGAAATAAGATACAAATCTTAATAATTATCATACCTTAAGGAGAACATTGGATATCATGTTATCACGTTGCCATGGTTACTATTTCAAATCATATTTTAACGCTTTTTATCTCAACAACAACAAACTTGTTGTTCTCATTATTCTTAATCTCGCGCAAAAACCTAATCCTAATTTCTTATTCTCGCGCACGTGCACGCATATTCCTTTAATGTACGAACACGCCTATTCTTTGATATGCGCACGCACCTATTTTTAGCCAAGCGAAAGGTTTGGTTTTTGCTTACCTTCTCTAGTTGCTGGAGGAGGTTGTTCTCCCTCTTCTATCGGATTCTGTACACCGTTTTCGACCGGAGGAGACTCCTGGAAAGTAATACATGCTTTAAGTTACTCAAAAGCGCTGAACCTTTTTGTACCCTCTATTTTCAATAATCCAATATTGTTTCCCGATTCATCTATCATATCTACCCCAGGTTTAGATTGTAGTTGATGGTCTGAGAGATGGTCTGAGCAGTAGTCTACTTCCGTCCGAGTAGATGGAAGAAAGGTGGAACATAAAACCAGTGGCTTTTCTATGAACCACAAGCAATGTTTCCCCCCCCCCCCCCCCCCCCCCTACTTTCTCTTTACAATCCCTTTAAGCGAACTCATTGAAATGGGGCCTACTAAAAGGACGCCAAACATATCTTGTTTGGATCATAACGTGGCACATATCATTGATTAAATGTCAGGTTAATTATAGGGAAGTGGTGTGAAACATTAATTAACGAAAGAATCAACATCAACAGGTGGTAATAGCATTATAGACTGTATTTATATACATGTAATCATGTGTTAATTGTGCGGTATACGGGTTGTCGTTTTTACGAAGCATTAGATAGAGAACATAGCTAATATCCGAAAAATTTGATTGCCGCCCTGAAACAATTCTGACAACAGACCAATTCCACTACGGCAACCACATACTAATAACCATTGCCCCTCCGATTATATTACATTGCAAAAAATTCTCAGTGAAAGTTTAAAAAAAAATAAAAATTTATGAAGCAATGGTAATAAAAAAATTAATGATGATTTAAAAAAAATAAAGTGATCGTACCACCTTTAGTGGAACATTTTTTCATTGTCATTAATCCGTCTCGGTAAAAAGAAGTTAATAATGATAATAATAATAATGATAATAATAATAATGATAATAATAATGATAATAACAAAATAGAAATAATAATAATTTAAAAACATAAATAAAATAAGCGACTGTACCTCTATAACTTTATATTCATCCATTTCGACCAGAGTTTGTAATATTTCAATTGTTGCTTCTTAAGAGCAACACTTTTTCAGACTTAACTGAAGTGTTGCAAGCACTGAGCACGGCGTATCCTCGGAACTTGTTGATTAAGCGGGCGTGGTCAGGATCTGGCTTATATAGCGCCGTCACAAGTCACACGTCAGAATAGGTGTCTTTTTACCATTGTGTAGATAAAAACCGATCGATGATTTATAATCAACGCCATACACCATTTTCCGTTTGGCCCACCTACACCTGTAACAAACACGAGAAAACTCGCCTCCGAAACCCAAAAACAACCAGTTCCCCACACGACCCTCAATCATAAGCATATGTGATCGTCCAATTTGTCCATGCACCTGTTCACGAGAAAACTCAACTTCGAAATCTGTGAAAAATAGCCAACAAGCAATTCCACACACGATCTTCAACTATCATGCATGTTGAGATCGGTGAACAAGTTTATTTGCCACCCAATTTGTCCATAATAATATACACCTACCTGTTCACGAGAAAAATCAGAGCTGAAACCCACGAACTACAGCAAACAACCAATTCTACGTTCTATCTTTCATTCGGTGCTCTTCTGCATTTTTGAAGGATGTTGAAGTTAGGTTACTTTGTCCCGAGACTGGGGGTACAAATCGACTTGGGACAATGCGGTGACAACTGACAAGGTTCGAATTCAAATTGCGGCAGATCCTTAGGTACAAGTCTCACATGGTCGTATTAGAGGGCTCTGTATGGAGATTTAGGAAAAATAGAATTGATTTGATACATCGCACTTTGTGGCCAAACCGTATAAGATATCTTTAACTGGTACAATTGTTAGATACAAACCAATTTTCTTTGGGGGGCACGTACCCCCTCTTTGTCGCGGTAGATTCTAATAAAGCAAAAAGCCTAATTAATAAATTCCACGCAGCTAAATCCGTGATAATTACGTTCAACAGAATAGATAATTAGGTTAGTTAAGTAATCAGTTGCGAGAAGTTGTCTAAATTAAAACTCTCGGCAGGGGGTTGTAATCCAGGATCTCTCTCAGGCCGTAGCTTCTGCAATGCCACCCCAAAAAATGAATTGCCCCCTGAAAAAATTCTGACAATGGACCAATTCCATTATTGCAAATACACACCATACACCAATGCCCCTACGGATATATCACTTGCCCCTCCGAACAATCAAGATTGGCGACCGTACTGATCTCTTTGCCCTGATCTCTTTCCCCCAGATGAAAATACTTTTACAACTTGGTTAAATACCAATTGAAATAACAAAAGTACCATTTAGAATTTTTAACAAATAATACATTTTATTCTTTGAATACATGTTAGTATAAAGTGGGTGGATTGCAGAATCCTTAAGTTCATGTTGCTTCTACTTCCAATCTTATCCACTCTGCTCTTTAGAGCACAATCAGTTTTAGGTTTTTCGGTCCTTCAGTGTCTTAGTTGGAACCAGGTCCATAGCTACAATAGGGGGTCTGTGAGTTGATTTTATACATATATACAGTTTAGATGACCACATCTTCGAACAATGTTTGCATCAAAAATAACCGACGAAAGATTACTTCATATTGTCCAACCAATGATTCAACAAAGTTCACTTGGCTGCCAGAAATCAATCCTAAAGTTCAACTAGATCAAGAACAAAACATTGTCTGATAACATAATTTGGTTTGCGTCCATCATTTTGTCCACGGCTGCTTTGATCTCATTTTCTGTAAACTCGTCTCCAAACCGTTCCTTGTTGATGTCCTCTCGCACTTTTTCCAACTCCAGAGACTGAGCATGGGCAGCTTTAAACACATTGAACAGACACGTTCGGAAGGTTTTGAGTCTGAAATTAAAAAAAGGAAATTTTTACGATTAATTTTTTCAACAATCAATCTAAAAGATATGGTCAAGTAGGTCCTCAACATCTTAAGGGTTGTCAATTTAGTTTCACCTTACGCTGTCTATGCTGGTTCTGGACAATGGCACTGGAATCAACAGAATACCTGTCATAGACCATGAATACCTGACAGTACTCACCTGTCTTCAGTTATCTCTCCTTTGTCACCACTAGAGGAAGCTGCTGGTGCTTCATCTGTTTCCATAGCAACATCATCCTTCTTTCGTTTCTTTCTTGATTCGTCCAAGGATTCGGGTGTTTCTGAAGAGAAACAACAATCATCATGAAATGCCTGATTTGGAAATGTATTCATTCATATCCAGAAAGCATGAAAACATTGGAGCTAAAGTCCAAAGACTTTCGTATCAGGGTTCTTATACCAACCATCATTATTGCCACCTACCCACTTGTGGCATATGATTACCAGGAGAAAATGTTCAGGGAGGTCTTTGTACTTACCATCTTCACTGGCAGTGCTCTCAGCAGATTCAAAGTCATACGGATCATAACCATCTTCTCCTTCCTTGAGCTGAGGTCGCTTCTTGGCATCTCGAGATTTCCTGAAGAGGAGATTGAATAAAAAATCATTAAATGTTCAGGAATTGGAAGAGTTGGTAAGGTATTGGAAGTTGGAAATAATTAGAAGGCGTGGCAAATGGCAGATGTCTTTGGTCAGTGAACAAGATCCTTAGCACATATGTGAAAGAGACAGAGGAGCTCTTGCCTTCCATAAAGAACTTCTAGTCCATACATGGCTTCAGCCAAAACCAGTTTGCTTTTGGTCTTAAGATAAGTTCGTCAAAATAGAACTTACTTTTTACGTTTTGGTCTCTCTACTTGTTCTTCTTCACCTTGGCTGTCCTCATCATCCGAAACCTGCTTCTTCTTTCTGGTCTTCTCCAATACCTAAAAGTGATGGATTAAAATAAATTTCAGATTTGTTTCTGGAACACAGTGCCATCTATATCCAAGAGGTACACACCAGTCACATGACAAATAGAACTGCATCATTATGTGTATCAGTGATATCCTTTGTGATGACATCTTCGACTCTGTAGAGATCAGGCATCATTAAGAGGCCTCAAACCAAAGAACTGTATTGTGTCATACCTTTTTGAAGTAGGCGAACTGAATGAGCTCCACTGCAGCTTGGGCATCTTGTAAGTCTGCTGTTTTGGAGAGTCTGGCTTTAGCATGAGCAGTGGATAGACGAATCATGGTTTCCAAACAACGAGCTGTCACAGGCTGCGTCTGCAAAAAGAGAACTCATTTATTACCATAGTTTCATTCAAAACACAATGAGGGAATTTAAACCAAACCTCAATGTCTCATCAGTCTCTTATGTGTGCATCAATAACATCAAAAGCTGGAAAATCCAGAGGAGCTCATGGAGTCATCAAAGCTCTTCAGAAGCTACCTTAACTGAATTCAAACTTACTCTGGCAATATGGTCTTGAGAGAGGTTGTCTTGGTTACGTAATTTAGTATATTCATCTGCTATATAGTCTGATGCTTCCCTGGTCAAATTTGGTTTTAAAGCTTTCGCTACGTGGACATACTTTCTCATGAATTCCATGCTAACAATTCGGTCTCTGTAATAAAAGATAAGGTCCATTAAATACAGCAGCTAAGTCAGTTTGGCCATTGGAAACTTGACAACAACTGGAGTGCATGGGTTCTTATCTTGGTCAGCCTGTGGATTGTAGATTTTTAACTTTCATACAAATTTTAAGCGCTTGAATATTTTCTAAAAGAAATGAGTACCTACTTTTTAGAGCGAGTGGCGCCGTGTAACAGAGCATCATATTTTTCATACATTGGTGTCTCTTCTTCTTCATCATTTCTTTCTTTGTCAGGATCTTGTGTTGCTAGGAGACTGGCAGAATTACCCATTGCCATAGCTACAATTAGATTTCAGTCTGTTTTAGTTTCTGCCAAAATTGTAGAATTCTTTGGGACGAAGCTACTGAATTGCCGTAAAGCTTCAACCCACAGCTCCAACAACAGTGGCAATGTTCCCATGAAATCCAACCAACAAAAAAAAGAACAAGTACTTACCATCTCCATCTTGTTCTTGAGATGATCTGTAGCGATGCATCCTCAACACATGGTCTGAGATACGTCTGTCATGTTCAGGGTCCATCTTGTCCAGGACGATGAATAACAGATCAAAACGAGACAACAGAGAGTCTTGTAGTCCTATATTCTCCATGGGCGTTTTATACTGGTCATACTGTAATACAAAATTGGTTTTGGATTTAAAAATAAGCCATTGACTTGACTCAACAATGCTGGTAGACTGGATTGTCCAAAGGCGCTATAACCTTAAGAGCTCAAGTCCAAACTTAATTGAATTGAATTTTGATTTATCACTCACCCGTCCATAAACAGGATTGGCTGCAGCTAAGACACTACATCTAGCATTCAACTTGGCATGGATACCAGCCTTGGCTATTGTGACTCGTCCCTGTTCCATCACCTCATGAATAGCCGTTCGATCAATGTCCGACATCTTGTCGAATTCATCAATACAGACGACGCCACGATCTGCTAACACCATAGCACCAGCTTCCAGACGTCTGTCACCTAGAAAAGAGTACCATATGTCCTTTAAGGTCCTGGCTTAATCAAATTTGATGAGAGTTCTTCCTTCTGATCAAAAGGTATTATGTTAACCTCTGCTTGGATTGATCTCTGGAACTTCAGGTTAGCATGCACATGTCTAACTCTCTGAGCCACAGCTCCTGCCTTGGTTTGAAAAAGACCACTCACCTGTTTCATTGTCAGTAGTAACAGCAGCAGTTAGACCTACACCAGAAGAACCTCGTCCAGTGGTAGGTATAGCACGAGGTGCAGCATTCAAAACATATCGTAACATCTGAGACTTGGCTACTGAGGGATCTCCAATCAATAATATATTGATATCTCTGTAACAAAACAAACCCAAATGAATTATGTATTACACAGCTGTCAATTTGGAAGTCATGTCCAATCGAGCTGTAGCTTTGGCTCCAATTGACCTATAAATTTTGATGACTACTTACCCTCTAAGCCTTGTTCCATTATCCAGAATCTTTTCTGTTCCTCCAAGAAGCATACACAGCACAGCTTTCTTGATGTACTCATGTCCATGGATTGAAGGAGCCAGGGACTTGGCCAACACTTCGAATACATCCTAGAAAGAGGAGTGATAAATAGGTGAAACAACTAAGTATTGTTAATCCATAATCCATAGTTTAACTTTCACCAAAGGAATGAATTAAAAAAATACAAAATGGCTTACAGCACTTTTCTGCTTTCCAAATTTCTTGATCTTGGCCACATCATCTGCTGAAAAGAGTGGAGCTACTTCTTTACTCAATAGTTGGATATTGTTGGCTATCAAAATAGTTCTGAAACAAAATTAACATCAGCAATTAAAGCCAATAACCTATCAAGAGCTCATCTAATGTGGCTGACGTTTTTGGGACAAAAAACTTATCAAAACAGCTCATCTGGTACATAGCCTGCTAGTCCTTGAGGCCAACGAATAATTCAACTCTGATTCAATCAATAGTAAGTTAGAAATTACTTTGCATACCTGAATGTGCCTGAAGTGTAACCATTTTTCTTGGCTGGTAGACATCGGAATAAACCAATAACTTGGACTCTGTCACCTGGCTGTAATAATACAGATATTTATTTAAAGTAAAAGTAATTGCTGCCGGTAAAAGTAATTGCTGCAAATAAAAGTAATTGCTGCAAGTGGAAGTAATCAGTTTGATAAAACAGTAATTGCTGTGAGTAAAAGTAATCCATACATACCTTACAATTGTCAACAAGGTCATTATCAGCGATGATGTCCACAGATCGAGGTAGTTGTCCTGGTGGTGCCTTCTCAGGCATTTCTTGGATACTGAATGTTTGGTGATCCTTGTACACAGACAATCCAAATTCTGTTTCCAACAAATTTCCATCTTCATCCTACAAAGAAGGGAACCGTCTCAAATTTTGCATTTTTGGAGCGCTTGAAAAGATAAGCAATGCCATGGACAATGAGGGAAACAATAGAAAGAAAGGATATTTTACAAGGATAACAACTTCGGTTCACCAGGATCCTTTCTACCGGCTGATCCTTGGCATTGATTTTTCATGAATAACATACCTTTGTGGGGTAGACAGCACTGGACGGAACAGCCTCTAATGAGGTCATGTCAGTATAACGTCTCTCTATGGTCTTTTTAGTAGCTGGACAATAGTGTACACTTCTGACTATTTTGGTCCGGATCAATGAGCCTGAAAGATATATGGTCATTTGAATACTTGCTGAGAACATGTGTTTGGATTTGAAAATATACTTAACTGATCTCTTATTGGTTAAATAATGAATGTGCAAAATAGTTTTAGATATTAAAACTTGGGATTTCCCGCAATTGAAATGGAACTGGATATTAGAGATGAACTTTTACTTACATTTTGTGACAATACCTTCCAGACACACCATGTTGCCAAGGAAACGAGAAGTGAGGGTTCTGGGATTTACATGCTTTGCTCCAAAACTGTAAAAAAGATCGAAGATGTTAAACAAAGCAAGTCACATGCATCACATTACGATAATAATTCAGAACAGATTAATGCCAAGAGGTTTAGCCAAAGACCAGCTGGTAGAGAGGGTCCTAATGAAGCTAAGCTGGAATCCTTGTAAATTATGGTTGTTTCTTTTCTCTCTCTCGGAAAAACTAGACTGGGTTATTATAAAATACTTGGTACCCACCTTCCATCAAATCCCACAAAGAACTCTTCATGTTGCTTGGCATAGAGAGGATCAGCTGAGGCCAGCAATTCTTTCAGAGCTCTGTTAAATGCTATCAATTCTTCAAAACTGTCATTCAATAAGCTGAAAGAAAAAAAAAGGTCCATGATTTGAACTGTACTTCAATATAATTAATTTTTAGTTGGCATGATAATGTTTATGTCTTTTTAAAATTTCCATCATTGCCCACTGCAATTAAAACTTTGTGTATAACTACAGACTAAGACACATATCAAAACTTACCACTGAGCTCTTTTAGGATTTTTCTTGCGTAGATCGTTGATGTTTACGTTGAGTCTTATTTTATTGTCTAGGATCATATCTCGAACCTTCTGTTGATAAATACCCTGGTCTTCCTGTAATAAATAATCAATTCAATGCATACTTTATGGCAAGGGGAGTGGCAAGGGGACAACAAGACAGGGAAAGGGCATCAAGGGCAGTGGATATAAGGCATCAAGGGAAGTGGATGTAAGGCAACACAGGCAGTGGATATAAGGCATCAAGGGCAGTGGATATGGGGTGACAAGTGCAGAGTTATGGGGCAGGGATGTGGGTTAACAAGGGCAGACGCCATGGGGGCAGTCAGTTGGTTTCGGGGATTAAGTCTAAGCTGTTAATTAATTAGTTTTCTGGCTAGGTAACTAGAGATTGTAGATTGGGGTAATTCAATCAGCGAGCTAGTTATATCGGAAAGTACGAACTGGTGTCCAAAGGCCAACTCCTCGACCCAAAGCAAAGGGGCGAAAGAGCAGGGGATCGGGCAAAAAGGATTGTCAAAGATCTTAGTCGAGAGTTAAGAGTCTAACATTCCTTCAATTTCTCAGAATTTCTAACTGAAATCTACTCACATCATCGTCCAGAAAGTCGAGATATTCCCTCTGAATCTCTTTTAATCGCTGATCTAAGTCTTGGTTATTCATTTTACTCTGTTTTTAGCTTCTGAATAGGGAAATGATCATATACTACTCTACCAAAACAAAGCTTTCCCGCAATATTGACCACGTGATACTTTCGCGGGAAACTTCACGTGGTGTCAACATAGACAGAATTGACCAGTCTTAACTGTACACTTTATCAAAAAGGAATTAAGTCTGGATTAAAAGAGGCTAAGCCTTTAATGATGCCCAGCATTTTAAACCTTCTAGTAGAATTGGCTTTGCTTATAAAATAAATTTGACCTCACCTGCTTGATTCAACAACGTTATTTCATTTAAATTTGATAATTGTTTATTTTTAATGTATACACTTTGCATTCAGTCAATTTCTCGAACAAAACTACTTTTAATGTGTTGTGCATCAAAATCCAAGATGGCAGCCCCCATGTTAATAAACAATAACATGAAATGAATCGGGTTGTTTTTGGTAATTACGCTTTATTTTCCTTTGATTAAGTATTGACAGTTGGTTGATCAGTTTAAATATGATATTGGCACTAGGATCATATAACCAGAAACCTCAACTACACGTGACTACACGATATTCCCGTCTCAAAGATGTAGCCTACTTGAGAGTTTTTTTAGTTCCTATATTCTTCTGCAGTTTATCCTTCCCTGCCTGCGCTGTGTCAACGGTTTGTGGTTTGACAAGCCAGAAAAATTGTAAGGTTGATGGTCACACCATTGCTTTGTGTCTTAAATGTACCTTCAAAACAGGGCCTGTCCCAGACTGGATTCTCTTACTTGCATATTTTTTCAGTGATTTAAAGTGCAATTTATTTCTTTATTCAGCAATACTAAGATGGAAGGAGAAGAGAGAAAAAAGATCCGTTTGTACTACACTCATGGTAAAATATTTGTCTGGGATCATAAAGGTATGTCCCCTCCCTCTCTCTATAGCTTCAAATTAATTGCCCCCTTCCCTCTCACTGTTCCCATTCTATGTGTCCCCTACCCCTACCAAATGGTCCAGATTTTAACTGCTCATACTCTGTCTGTGAATTGAAGAAGGACATAGGTAGCTCATGTCTCAAAAAGACAGCATTTTTATTACCCCTTTTCTAACTTTTGATAACTTTAATTTCAGATGTGATTACATTAAGAAAGGAACACAGAATTGTTGGTAATTTAGTGGGATCCTTGCCTCGTGCTCCCAGACAAAATATACATCTTGGTCTACCATTACAACTGGCTTTCTATGAAGCTAAACTATTAGTTGATACAGGTGAGAACAAACATACTGTATAATTGTGAATATAATGCGCACCCTGCCTTAACCTCAAGTACAGCTGAGCAATTTAGTTACAGAATGGACCTTCTGCCAAAATTTTAAAGGATTTAAAGAGGTTCATTAAACTTTTTATGTGTATTGGGGAAGCTTGATTGCATCGATGAGCACCCTTCCAATTTTCTTGCAATTTCACTCAAACTATTGTGAAGGTTTTTAGATATTATGTGATGCCTCAAAATCCAAGTATATTTATTCTGTTTTAGGTGTAGGGGAAATTGTTATAAGTAAAAATCTAGAGAAATATGTGGATGAAAAAAAAGTTCAACAGTTTAAAGAACTGAGACAAAAGTCTTATGAAGATCAAGTAAGATTAACTAAGGGTATTACCAGTTTGATACACACCAACCCTTGATGCAACCAGCTGATATAATTTTGACTCAATTTGATCAGTAGTGGATTTATTTTCAAGCGATTCATTAGACCAAGGACTAGCTGGTAGACACAATAATCATAAACCGAAGTTTCTTTCTTTTCTTTGAATCTTTCACACAAATTTTTTAGATTCCATTATTCAAAGACGCCAGGAGGAAAGAAATTCAACAGCATAAGCATTTAATCATTGAAGGAAAGAAAACTAAAAAACGTAAACATGAAGAATTAAGACAGGTGGAATTACAAAATAAAAGCAAGGAGTCGAATGCAGCACTACAAACGGCAGAAAATTTTGAATCACAGAATGATTTAAAAATTGATCAAGCCATACCAGATAAAATCCAAACAAGTATGAAAGATGATGATAAAGACACTGAAAGGGACTCTTCATCTTTAAATAATGAAGAAGAAGACAAAGAAGAGGAAGAAGAAGATTTTGATATTGATCAAATTGATATTCCTGATATCAAACCAGAGCATGCTATTGTTCAACTTTTTACAGGTATCCAACTTTATCAGTCATTTGCACTTACTTATTTAGAATCAAATACCCCCATTCAGCACCATTTTGGTCAAACAAGCAACTTCCTGTATTATACTTGCTGACTTAACCTTTAATGTCCAATGGATGGAATTCTGATGTCATTTATTCCACTGGACTTACATTTCAGAAAGTCTATGGAATATAGAATCTACAGAACCTTACCAAGACTGGCGCTACCCTCAGACTGATGCAGAAGGTCTTCAATACCATGTTTTTAAAGATCTTTGGCAGCAGAATTATTTCATAACTCCGGGGAATAAATTTGGTGGAGATTTTCTGGTTTATCCTGGTAGGATTCCATTTGATACTCACTCTTGGAAAACCTGATACAACATTCAACAAATTAGATTGAAATGTATAGCTGTTGTAATGCTATCGTGTCCATTACTTATTCTTATTTCTTTTTCTTATTTTCCTATGGGTTATTTCACTCATTCCAATTACCACTGATCAAGAATGAGTGAAAAGGCCCACAGAAAAAACTGAAACAAAACACTTTCTATTTAAGTTGTTATTCTTGTGAATTATAAATGATTTTTAATCTTATTTTCAGGGGATCCAGCTTTATTCCATTCCTTCTATATAGCAGTATGTCTACCTCATGATGAAACTCTGACTTCTTTAGAAATAGTGACTCTGGGACGCCTTGGTGCCAATGTCAGAAAAACGGTGCTAATGTGCTCAATGTCAGGAGATAAAGTCTTGTACACTTCTTTACAATGGACTGGCATAACATGAAAACAGAAGGAAATAGATTCTCTTGGACGCCTTGGCGACAATGTCAGGAAAACGGTGCTAATGTGTTTGCTGTCTTTTACTTTTCTTTTGACATCCTTTGTGAAATTGTTCGTAAGAATGGTTACAGTGTAGCAATAATATCAGACCCTCTAGATCTACATTTTACCCTTCACGAAGACTTCAAATTATTAAAACACAATCAAAATTAAAAATTTTATTATGAATGAAACACAAACAACCACTTTTCAGTAGTGTCTATTTCACAGCATGGTACATCACTTCCTGTGAAATACCTCCTGTGTCTTTATCTTGATCATTAATTCTCAAGATAGAGAGTCCATCACTATTGTTCTTATAAAAATGTTGACTCCTAGATGATGCCAAGACACTTGTTTATTAGAGTCCATCTTCATTTTAACTCTTAAGCTTCACTCACATATAAATTCCTTAAAAGTTTTGACTCATTGATGATAATAATGATGATAATTGAGTCCACAATAAATGTAGTCTTTTTTTCAATTTTTTTTTTCTCATTTTAATTTTTAACTCGCGCACTTTTATCCAAGTATGGGCTCATGGATAATGAAGATGATAGTCAATTGAAATGAATGTATTTTAGTCTTAATTTCACCACCATACTTATGATGTTGCACTATTTACATATTTTACACATCTTCAAATACACAGCATTCGTCTTTCACCGTGCATCAAACACAATCACTAAAACACTGGTTAAGGAAAATAATAAATAACAATAAACATAAAAAACTTGCCATTGTGCCAATACATCGTTTGCTCAAATGCAATACCTGTACTTTTATTATTGGGTCAGCAAAGCAGGCTAGTTTCACATGAAAAAAACTTACAAAACCCTAGTCATTCTGGTAGACAATAGGCTGTTATAGATCCCCCTTGCATAGCATTGCCCTTCTTGATTTTTAGAGCTTAATCATGTCTAGAATATATGAACATGAACATATATTTAATTAGCTTAGTAATATGAACAGTTGTTGTTTTCTGATCAGTAATTATAATAAACACAAAAGATATAATAAGAAGACAAATTGTAAAAGGATACTGCGCTTTGTTCTTTTCTTGTACATAATTCTATAGCCACACTCCCGACACCTGATAGGATCCCGAGCCTTAATTTCATTTTCTTGATGACATTCTGAAATTACAACAAAACCTCATTAGAAACTAGAGACCTTACATTATACATATCATTATATACTCTGCTAAACCAGAAACAACAAGAAATTCTAGCTCACGAGATACCGATATCTTCTAATTAGTAATATGATCATCCTAATCTGTTTTATAACATCTTGTATCAAGGAAATGGAGTTTTACCTTACAATATTGATACCTGTGCATGTTAAAGATTTCTCCACAGTTGGAAATAAAAAAAGATTAGGCTTAAGCTGTTGTCAGGTCTAACAAAATTGCCCTCATTGTACACTGCATGGTATTGCAAATATAAGTAGGCATGCAGAAGTAGGATGTTATACTTCATTCATTTCATTCATTTCATTTGCACCGGACTGAGCTTATGCAAACAGATGAACTGAGTAATTGCTCTTAACTTTCCAATATGTGCAGTGCACCAGCTTAAGCCTTTCACCCCTAAAACCTCTATTGAACTCTTCCTTATAAATCAATATTGCACATCATTATGAATGTTCAGTAGAGTTCATTTACAGAAGCAGGGATAATTATAGTTGCATTACTTCTAACTGCTAATTACAGAAAGATCAGAAGGTTTTATCATGATCAGCTGGTAGAGAAACAAAACTGACTTTACTTACCACCACAAATGTAAATCATAATTTGTGATTTTGTAGGATTTGCTCCATCTTTTCCTTGATCCATGATTACAAAATGATAGCCTGCAAAAGATATGATCAATCACATGAAAAACTTGCCAGGAAGCAATGTTGGAAGCCCTTAAAAGGAGCTAATTTCCATATAAACTAAGCCTTTATTGTCATCATAAATACACCCCCCCTCCCCCCTTCAAATTTGTTTTCTTTTTTCTAAATTCTTTTGTTTAGATATTTATTTCGTAGCTTATACGTTATATTTTCCCCATAAACGGGACATATATCCTTAGAACATCGTCTTGAGAACTTACTTTTCTATCAAAGTCTAACAGTTAGACTGAAATATGTAATAATTTAAAAAAATTGGCAAATTTTGGATACTATTCAACACATGGACCGGAAGTTTACATTTTTAATCTCGTCCCAGTTTTGAAATCTCGCGAGATGTGAAATTTTCATAACAAGCGATTTGATTGGCTGATGAATATTTGGCGAACGATTTGAAAGGCTGAAATTTGATTCAAGACACCAAAAATAAATTTTATCAAAATCACGTTTGCACAGCAATTTGTGGAAATATTTTATGCGGATTTTGTAAGTATACATTCAATTCACCTTGTCCTAAAATTTGAAAACAATCGGTGTAAGATTTATGGACAAATTCACTCTTTTTTGGGACTCGGGTATTCCCGCTTGGATTTTGCAATGAATGGCGACATGTCCAAACCGCTTTCATCATAAAAGAAAATGTTTTGCAGCTTGTGGTATCAAACTGAAGCCGTCGTGGTCTCAAATGCCCCTTAAGACTATCTAAAAGTGTGTCCCTTTAAGGGCTTCGATAGACCTATCGAACTGTGTTTGTTTTCTTTCACTTTCCTTTGTCAACACTCCCAAACTTGAAAAGGGGTTTTCATGGCTTGATCATCTTGATGTGTCATAATGACCTACTTTTGCTTGGGCCCTTAATTGGGTCTAGGCTAGATACTGCCAAGAGTACTCAGTACATTATTGAAACTTTGATTTTTGCAGATAGTCCATGTATGATCTAAGATAAGATATGATAATGGCAGAGGCAGGATATTTGGATCCAGATTCAGCTAGGGAGTTCGCACGTGAAGTAGAAAAGATGCGCTCCATCAGCACCAGCACTCCTATGGCTATCACAAGTCTGTGTTCCAGTGTGTTTTCAGAAGCAGACAGTGGTTTTGAAGATGTGACAGTAGACAGCTGTTTTTTAACGACAACCACTGCTAGTTCGAACTATAGTTTTGACAGTGACTCCAATTTCAGTTTTAATTCCAAATCATTGAGTGGGCATGGTTTGTTTTACAGTCCAATCCTAAAAGAGCAGCCGTCTCCGAAGCAACCAGAAAAGGAGCACAACTTACGCGATTGGGAAATCCCTGAGGAGGAAGACATCTTTTTGAAAATTAACAATAGAAACTTAACAGACTTGCCTTGCAGAAATTTAAGTTTTGAATTTGACTCTCAGGACAGTGGTCTCCAGACTTCAAGCTCCAGTCCCTCCATAGAACTTTCGGCACGGTTCCAACAAGTTTTAAGTACCTTCTCGCCCTCTGTGTTAGATCGTTTAATCGGTCGTAAAATGGGACTGGAAAAAGTGGACATAGTTTCAGAACTAAGTGCCAGAAATGTGATGGCATTATCCAGTATTTTTAGTTATTTGGAACCACAAGACTTATGCAGGTTGGTAGCCAAATTCCACTGTTTATCATTTTTGTGGACTGTAACACAATCAGTGGGAGTGTTGGTCCAATAAATAATGTCATTTGATTGGTTACCTTGGTTACACAACAAAAATGGTGGTCGTGGGTTCAGTTGAAATCCACTTGCTCATCTTACTTAATGTAGCTCTATGGCTTGGATAAACTTGACATCCCTTCAGAGGGTCCACATAGAGAAAATGTAATCAATGGCATTGTTTTCTATTTTCAGCATGTGTCAAGTCAGTCAGAACTGGAGAAAAGTTGTCCATTCTGATGCCAGAGCATCAAAACTCAAGAAAAAATATGTGAAATACAGTCAAGAGACTTCATTAGGAAAGGTAGGTTTGGGCCATTGTGTTTTCTTGGGCGTTGCTACTAGGAAATTGGTAAAGCTGAGTGACTGCTGTTTTATCTTGAAAATCCTAAAGGTTTAGCTTGGAAGGTCCGAAAAGTTCACCATGGAATAGTCAGTGGTTTTTTGCCTCAGAAAGTCATTGAATTGTACTTTGAGCAGTCATTGACGCTTTTGTATATATACCAGTACATCAAGTCTTGATGTTGTATGATGTTTGTTTTAATTTCAGGAGAATTCATCAAAGTCTCTTCGGTACCGATCGATTCGAGGTTTGACCCAGGCGAATAAGTTCGAGACAATTCAGTTAACTCAGCATCAGAGAGCTTCAACACCCTACTCTAAACTTTCTACTGGTGACATCTTTTCTATGGTATGTAAGCTAAGAATTATATACTGCTTTCATAGTGTCCACATGACTTTTACATTTCTTGACCTCATTTGACAAAAATTACCATAGTATTTCTCACTGTAAACTGGGTCCAGTGTCATTATTTTATTTCAGACTTAGAAAGGTTGTTACAAAATTATCCTCATTGCCCACTGACTTCTGTGAGGACGAAAGTCAGGTGTTAAAATCTGTTTCATTTTCTTCCAGGCAGCAGATTCTTTAAGAGAAGGAGAGGAGTTGCGGAAATGCCCAAAATGTTTTGGTGCCTCTAGAGTTCTTCCAGGATACGACCGTGGAACCTGCTTTAACAGTGACTGTAGTTTTGAATTCTGTTCCAAGTGCTTTTGTGAATATCACGGTTCTAAATCCTGTAATCCTATTGGTGTTTGTAAAAAGCAGAAAAAGGACATCATAGGCAGCAAAAAGGCAAAGAAAAATTTGAAGCGACTAAGCGCCTTATAGCAACCATAATTTGATTTCCAGTGATCTCAATAAACCACGGGTTCAAAACCTGCATGCTAGTGCTAGCCAAAGACAATTCTTAGACTTCTTGGAAGCAGCTACTTGGACCACAGTCAATTTGAATCATTCCATTAGACCACAGTCAAATTTGACTCATTCGATTGGACCACAGTCAAATTTGACTCATTCCATTGGACCACAGTCAAATAAGACTCATTCCATTGGACCACATTCAAATTTGACTCATTCCATTGGACCTCAATTTAGTGCTTCAAAATGACAACTATGCAATCTCAATCGTGTTCTAAAAAAGAACCTAGTCTTCCCATTTATTTGTATAACTGAAATTTTTAACCATAAAGTATTTTTATGCACAAATTGTATCTGAACATAGATTTTTATCCGATCTTGTACAGAAGCTTGGGCTTCCGTCAAAATTACAAAAACAAAAAATAATGCATATCATTTAGACTAGTCCATGCGAAAAAAAAAAAATAAATAGGGCATTTAAGTTTTTAAACTTTTATTTACAAAATATAAATTTGAAAATAAGAAAAAAGAATTTATGTTGAGTCTGGATGATATTTTAGTTTGTAGTTTACATTATGCTGCCTGTTTCTTGTCTTCCCTTTCTAATCTTGCCTTCCACTCTTTCATGCCTTTGTGCCTTTCATGTTAGTGTTACATACATTTGTCTTATATGTAACATTTGATGTAGCATTTATGTGTAACATTGTACTATATTGAGTTTTACATTTACTTTTAACATTACCTGTTACATCTGTGTTGCATTGACATGTCTCATGTGATGGTACATTTATGTGTTGCATGTTACATTGGTGTTGCATTTATGTTTAAGGAAGATCTAGCATTGTATCTCATTTAGTTAGTAATTTCCTAATTCTAAACTTTTCTAAGAAAAAGTCTTTCTAGAAAATGCTAGTCTGAATTGTATATACAAATTTCTGAAAATATTTATTAATTAAAATATGGTTAGCTATTTATTCTGACTTCCGCAGACAATATTTGGGTTGTGATTAAGTTTCTATTTTTGTGTCCAATATTCTTAAGATATGATCATGTTCAGGAATTGGTATAAAATTTTGTTAGATCTCAAGATGTTATATTTTCAATAGAAGTTATAAATGTCCATACATTCTTATCTCTTCAAAAATAACTCACTTATAAGATCTAATTGTCAAAAATTTGGTTATAATTGTATATAAGGTCATATTATTTTAATACATTGAAAACATAGTAGTAAATGTAGCACTTAAGTCATTGCTCAGCAGCTGCTAAGGTTACTACTAGGTTTCTACTGCTTACAGAATCTTTTTGCAATAGCATTTAAAATCTTCTGACAAGATATACAGGGAATTAAATTGAGTTAATCAAAATGATTTTTTTTTTGACAATTCCCTAAATTTATTTAGATTATGGAATATTTTATCTGAATCAAATACCTGTTAATTTTTAATGATAATGTATATCTTGAAGTTTTTAAAGGGTTGACAGTGCAAATGGATGGGTTATATTGTTGCATCGAAGACAAAAAATATTTCCATTTAAAATGTTTTTTTGTGTCTTTATTTTTTTTTACAATTGATATCATAATTATGCATAAAAAGTTGAAAATTATTGTGTTCCAAATGTTGAATTAATATATTTTAATAAAATTGGTTATTTTATTAATAATGTTTTGTTTTTTGTTGCTAAAATGGGGAGAGTGGGGGCATGCCTCCCCCTGTGTTTGGGTGAAAAAAGAGCTACTTATTTGTTGTCTGAAGCATTAATATTCCTCGCTAGATAATCTGCCCTTGGGTAATTAACTGTGGTCTTGTTGTTTGCACGTGCCTACAAGAGGTCAGAGATAGGGGGTCAAGAGTTCAAGACTCTTCAAGCTGACATTTTGCTACAAAACAATTTTGATTTATTTTACATTCAAAAACATTAGTACGGCCATTTTCATCACCGAACTGGCTCAGTCTTATCTAGTAAACATCTCCCAAATTTATAAAAATAAGCTTTCTTTATCTTATCTGGCATGCCATTTTAACATAAGTAAACCCCAACCGCACGTAAGGTGCGATCCCGCGACGACCTTTCGTTCTACTAACTCGCATCCGATAGAGCTATTGCGACAATAACTACATAGCCTAGTGTGCAAAAGTGGTGAGAGGTCTAGGTTAATTTCTTTCTTCTAGCAGACACTATTATTTTGATTTATTTTACATTCAAGAACATTAGCACAGCCATTTTTATCATCGAAATGGTTCAGCCTGGCCTGCTTACGTCACCTAAATTTGTGAAAATAAACTTTCTTTATCTTATATGGCAAGGCATTTTAACAAAAGGAAACCATCCTTTTCATGGGGTTTGAACCCGGGTCGCCATATTGTTTCACCAGACTCAGTTGGACCTTGTCGCTGGGGCGTTAATTAACTGTGGTCTAGTTATTTGCACGTGCGCCTATGAGGACAGAGGTGAGAGGTCAAGAGTTCAAGTCTCCCCAGGCTTATATTTTGCTGAATAACTATTTTGTTTATTATACATATAAAATCATTAGTACAGCCATTTTTATCACCGAAATGACTAAATCTAGTCTGCTTATGTCACCCAAATATGTAAAAATAGGATTTATGTGACAAACCATTTTAACAAAAGGAAACTGCTTATTACGCGAGGCTCGAACCCGGGTCGTCATATCGTATCACTAAGTCAATTCGGCGTGGATTAATTGTGGTCTGGTTGATTGCATGTGCGCCCGTGAGGTCAGAGGTAAGAGGTCAAGAGTTCAACTTTCTCTTCTAGCAGACATATTTCAAAAAAAATATTTTGATTTATTATACATTCAGAAACATCAGTACAGCCATTTTTATCATCGAAATGGCTAAGTCTGATCTGCTTACGTCACCTAAATTTGTAAAAATAAAATTTCTTTATCTTATATGGCAAGGCATTTTAACAAAAGGAAACCACCCTTTACACGGGGTTCGAACCCGGGTCGCCATATTGTTTCGCTTCATCAGACTGAACTGACCATGTCACTGTTGCGTTAATTAACTGTGGTCTAGTTATTTGCACGTGCGCATAGGAGGTCAGAGGGTAGAGGTCAAGAGTTCAAATTATCTACTAGAAGACATTACATAACTATTGTATATAGACTTAGTTTATTTGGAAGGTTACCAACAAGTGATTAATATTAACAAGTGTTCAATAATCTGCACGTGCATTACGTGCCGTGGCACAATAAATACAATGAGTTTAAGGTGAAATATCATTCTACTTGGAAATCATCGACCCATCACATTTGACTGGAAAAATGTCATTTTTAGCAATAATATTTTAGCTCTATTTTTCATATTTTTTTAAAACGTTTAAAATATTCACGAATAAAAAGTACAAAACCCCCTTATTTATTTGCTTGTTGTTTTGTGTATGTGGTAGTAATTTTTACAGGTTTTTTTTTTATGTTGGTGTTTTTTATTTATTTGTCAGGTTTTTATTTTTGATGTTTATGCGGTTTTTTTATGTTAGTAGTGAGGTGTTTGTGTGTGTGCGCGCGTATGGGTAATATATATTAAGAATAATTTAAGTTTTTTTACTTACCTTTTTTCATTTGTCGACTTCTTGTGGACTCGAACCCACATCGCAATGATGAAAGACGAACGAACACATTAACCGGCTGAGCCATCGCACTTGGCTGAAAGATTGGTAAGATTTAAAGTCTAAATCAAAAGAGAAAGCTATATTACCCTGCAGAGAACTAAGATCAAGATATTAGTTTAGTCATCTGACCATCGAACGTGCATGTCACTGTGGCTCAGTCGATTAGAGAGACAGTGCATCAGCTGGATTTTAAGTCGGAGGGTTCGATTCCCACCGCGGGAATATTTTTATTATATATTTAATAAAGGCTTTAATTATGTAGACAAAATAACATCTGATTTCGTCTGTCACCGTGGCTTAGTGGATAGAGTGGTAGGTCTTGGTGTAATCCATAGTGGGTTCGAAAGCTGGATGTGGTACCATAATTCATTTTGATGTTACCTTTACTCGAATGGTTTTAGGGTTATATAGATAAATTTGCAATGTATCCTCGTCGTCTCGATAGCACAGTGGTTAAAGTGCTCGGTCGGCAAATGATCAGATAAGGTTCGAACCTCTGCCGGGGACGCTAGCAAACAATTTTGACAATTTCATTATAAAAGTTCACATATAAAATGGTTAATTTCTGAAGAGTTTGCTGTGTCCGCCGTAGCCCTGAGGTTAGAGAGGCTGCTAGAGACCCTGACGAATCTGGATCGAATCTCGATGATGAAGAGTTCTCTATTTTGATCTTATAAATGATTCACAATCATTTAAAAGAGCTTAAATTTCGTGGTTTGCTAACGGGTCTCTATGGCCTAGATGGATGGATGGTGGACTTGGGCTAGAACTCTGTTTCGACGGCGAGGGTTCGAGCCCAGGTAAATCTCCAGAGGCTTTTAGCCACTGTCTCATGTTCTCTCTCTCAATCTAATATGAGAGACCTGAGTTCTCTAGAGGTAAGATGTCAGTTGACACGTTGGGCCTGCCGCAGGCAAGACACTACCAATAGATAGAACGAGGGGCAAAGCTGAAGAACGAGAGACAAGGAGGGGAGCCGAGGGGCAAACTGGTGCCCGGGTCCCTCCAAGATTCTAAAAGGAGAGAGGAAGATACTTACTATTTTACTACTATAGTAGGTTGTGACTTTGAACTTTAAATATTACTTACGAACGCCAGTTTAAATCCCACCTATTTTGGCCGTGGTCGTAGAGTTGTTCATCCCTCCCTACATTTTTCTATCGTTCAAACGTCCCGGGTTCGATTCCCACTCAAACCCAACTTTCGGTTTTAAAGTATTTTTGACGTCCAAAGCAGATTCTAGTGGTTTTGAGTGCCCACTATGGAAAATCTTTCACAACTAGATTTCCCCGTGGGGTTCGAACCCACCTAAGTTTCTAGAGGATGTTAGTCCTTACTATGGATGACGTTATTGCAACCGTGTTCTCCCGACGCTCTACCACTGAGCCATCCAGTCGAACACAAACCTTGAATTTTTATCCATTATAACTGTAACCTCAAGTTTTAAATAGTGTAAAATTAGTTACTCAATATTCAACCTAGAGTCCGCCAAAGGATTCAACACTCGTCTCGTAATTATCAGACCAACGCTCTACCACTGAGCCACCCAGTCAGACAATTTATAGAAGTATTTATCCAATATAACCGTAACCTCGTGTTTTAATAGAAGAAAAACCCAGCAGATCAGCAGTGAGGATTGATCAAGCATCCTTTACCTTCCAGAGGGTTATCCTACCACCGTACCGACTTGGCCACCAAGGACGTTAGAACCGATTGAAAATTAAGTCTATATATACTTTTAAATTCTATAAAAATCTGTAAGACAATACCTGGGATCGAACTCTCGACCCTAACATCGCAGTCTGTACTAACTACTTAGACCGCTCATCCACCACG